CGGGGCGACGGGGAGGCGGGGCCAAGAGACCGCGGCAGGGCCAGCGGGCCGGCCGAGGGGACACGCACGCGCACTTCACCCCCTCGCGTTGCTCCTTTACCTACCTTGGAAAGACGTGCGCCATTGGGGAAAAGGGCAGGAGAGCCGGGAGTCCGTGGGGCACCGATCTCTTGGGACGCCTACTTATTTAGCTTCTCCAACTTCCTCGTCTCAGCGTGGATCGCGTGGGAACTCAGGCCACTCAAACTCCCCTTAGAGACCGGAGGCTTCCTTTTGGTCTGCGTCTCCAAGGAAACGGACGCAGACTACCGGGCGCCTAGAGGGACAAATCTCGCTGGCCAAATGCAGCGTTCTACAGTTCTCCACTTGCTTTCAATTACCCCTCAGCGGGCCCCGCCCAACATCCTAAAGAATTATGTCATATTTCTCCCCGCATCAAACCTTCATCACTTCCTTCCCCAGCCTTCCTCTTTTTTTCTTCTTCTCTAAGTAGGTGTATTTTTAAATAACTTCCAAGCTACATATATTTTTTCCTTTAAAAAACAATTGTCAGAGCAGTTTAGTTCTGTTTTGCTGGTCATCCTTGTGGTCTCGAGGCCCCTGCACTCAAGGTGGAGACTGTCGGTCTGTCTGGTGGGGCCAAGACCCCAGCTGAGTGCCCAGCCTTATTCTTGACTTTGCTTCCTATTTCACTAAGAAAGTCATGGGATCAGTCAACTCAAAAGTTCACATCACCTCTCCTGGCCCACTATGGCTCAGCAGTTGAGCATCAATCTATAATCCAGGAGATCACAGTTTGATTGCTGATCAGGACACATGCCCGGGTTGCCGGCTCGATCCCTAGCAGGGGATGTGCAGGAGGCAGTCGATCAGTGACTCATCATTCATGTTTCTCTCTCTCTCTCTCTGAAATCAATAAAATATATATATTTTTTAAAGTTCACATCACCTTGTTTATCCACCTACTTGCCTCCCTCCTGTGACCATGTTTAACTTGCCTACTGAGACCAATTCCTACAATTGTGCATTGAATCCTACTCTCTCTTACTTTCTCTAAGATATTTCTCCAGCAATTCACCCCATTTCCCCCCATCACCCTCTTCTCTGTATTATTCCCATTGGCATACCAACATATTTTAATTTCTTCTATTAAAAAAAAAAAAAAAAACTGGCCACTTCCATGCAGCTCCCCTCCCATTTCTGCATCACTTCACAGCAAAACTACAGAGGTTGGCTATGTGTCTCCCATTCCTTTTTGCCTCCTCAGCCAGGCTTTCAATCTCCACCTCTCCACTGAAACTCCCCTTGTCAATGCCATTAGTGACCTCTACTTTGCTAAACCTCAGGGTCATGTCTTAGCCCTCACCTTATTTGGCCTACGTGCAGCATTTGGCACAATGGGTCACTCCCTCCTTGACACACTTTCTAAACCTGGCATCCAGGAAACCACTCTGAGTTGCTTCCTACCTCCTTTTCTTCTCTTTTGCTGGTCCCTCCTCTTTCCCCTTTATTATCGGATTGCCCCAGGACTCAGATCTGATCCTCTCTTTTTCTCTATCTGCTTTCACTCCATGTGCTCCCTTCCAGTCTTATGACTTCAGGTGCCATCTCTACCCAGATGCTTCCCAGCCTCACATCTTCAGCCTCTCCCCTGAATTCCAGCCACATACATCCAGTTTTCTACTCAGTATCTCCTTTGGACATTTAAGAGGCAACTAACGTGCAATCTTTTCCTAGAAACATTTTCACCCAACTCAAAATGACAATTCTCTTCCTGGAGTCATCCATGACTCATCTTTTGATTCATCTCTCATCCCACACCCAAATTTGTCAGCAATACCTTCAATGTCTATCTGGAATCAGACCCCTTACCACCACCACACACACACATACCCTGCTTTCCTCTCATGCCTGGACTTTAGTATCAGCTCCCAGTCTTGCCCCACTCCAGTTCTCTCTCCAGACCCCAGATTTGCTAGATACAGGATAAATTTAAAAGTGCATCCCAGCCCTGGCCAGGTAGCTCAGTTGGTTAGAGCACCATCCCAATAAGCCAAGGTTGTGGGTTTGATCTCTGCGCAGGGCACATACAAGAATCAACCAATGAATGCATGGATGAGTGGAACAACAAATCAATCTCTCTCTCTCTTTCTCTTTCTCTCTTTCTCTCTCTCTCTCTCTCACACACACACACACACACACACATCAATACATGAAATCTTCAAAAACTAAATAAAATAAAAGTACATTCCAGTTTAAAAAATAATTTGGAGGGAGCCAATAATTTGAAATCACCTAAACTTGAATAGAGGAATGTTACTGAAGAATACTAGGACAGAGCTCCCAAACTTTTCCCCCTCTTAAAAATCATATAAAAATGTTCTAAAATGCACTGCACACTATACTAAACAGAAGAGATTGCTATGGTAAAAGCAATCAGCTGGGTACTCTGGCCATCCAGGACCCTATTGGCTGCCCCTAGAGCTGAAGGAATCACTATGTCAGGCATCCTCATTTACAGAGCCCACTGTACCACAGCACTGCAGCTGGGAAGCTCTGTACCACGAAACAGTTAAAAAGGAGGAGGCAGTAATATGTGGCAAACCTGGGTGGGTTTCTCCCCATTCATCTCAGATAACAGCCCCTGCTCTTAGTCAGATACACACTGTCTTTAGAGGAGGCAGGCCCCAGACCTAGTCCCAGCTCCCTTTCCAGAAATCATAATTGGTCTGAGCTAGGTTTGGTGGGCCCATTTCTCTTGCCAGTTATAGATTTAGTCATAGGCATGTGATAAAAGTCTGGCCAAAGAATAGGATGAGGAGTCTGCTCAGAGACTTTTGGGAAAGATTTTCATCACACCTAAAAAAAAAAAAAAAGACTTTGCAGAAAAGCATTCCCTCATCTGCTACCAGATACTGTCATTATCTGCGTGGCATTCCCAGAATTGTGGAACTGTGAGGGGAGGTAACTCAACAGAACAGAAGAAGGGAAAGTGGAGGGAACCTGTTCCTTGATAGCATTGCTGAGGCAATAACCAGTCCTGCTACCTATCTAGAAAACCCACCCTGGATCAAACTCTTGGAATTCCCATATTCTGCCTCTGACAGTAGATATTAGTACCCCTTTGTTATGGAGGAACGAGCTGAAACTATGAAAACTGAAGTCATTGGCCCCATGGGACAAGGCTGAGATGTGAAGCACTCAGATTCAGACTAGCATCTCCCTGGCTCCACAATCCACCTTTTCTTTCAGTGAAGTTGGAAAGGTCACTGAAGCACCCTGAAATGCACAGATATGCAGAAAGAAGACAAAACTGACAAAAGGTAATTTAAACCTAGCCCTTCAACCACCCAAATTTTATCAATACTTTCAAAGCACCAGTTGAGACAGATGAGAGAGGACTAGATTCTGTTCAGCGCTAACTTTAGCCAGGGAATCTGTGTGTTCAGAGGTTTTGTTTCCTGGAGAGTCTGATGCAAATAGTCCTTGATCCACAATGTCAGAAACAAAAGGGTTTAATAAATAAATATAACCTACCTATTTATAACTAGGGGCCCCCTATTAACTCTGCCAAATGATTAACCCCATCTCCAGGCCACTGCGTCTGAAAAATGGTCAGTACATTCCTGTTTTGGAAGATTCCCCGTGATAAGGCTTGTAATGTGCTTAGAACATTACTGGGCACTTCAGCTCTCAGTGTATTATAATTGTTACCGTGAGTATGCTGGAGAGCTCTTTTTAAAATAATGCGACATCACTTACTTAAAAACGTTATCAAAAAATAAGGACTGATGGATAGAGGGGTGGTGTGATAGGGGTATAGCGACATTTTAATGAAAGTTAAAATAGTGAAAAGCTAAAGGTAAAACGTTCGCTGTAAAATTCTTTCAACTTTCGGCATGTTTGAAAATGTTCATAATCCAACGTGGAAAAATATCGCACAGCGGTGCGCCTCGGGAGGAGGGAGAGCTCGGTTTGGTTTTGTCTCAACGGGAAAGGTGTACAAAGGAAAACAAAATGGGCGAGACCGCCTTCAGCTGCGTCCCGCCTTCGGGCTGCGGGCCGTTGGTAACGCCGCTTGAATGAACTCATCGAGGACCGCTTGCGAAATCCCAAATCCTCGAGAGCGCGGCCCGAGGCTGCCAAACCCTCGCGCGGGACGGGGCCGGGCTCCGGGCTCCGGGCTCCGGCTCCAG